GCCCCCCAGGACTCACCGGCGGCCGTTGGCGCGCAGCTGGTCAGCACCAACAGTGGCCCCCCTCCGGCCCGCAGACCCGGGGACTTGTTGGCGCCGCGCGGCGCTTGCTGCCCCTCCTGGCGGTGGTGGTAGTCTTGGCCCGCGGGTCTTCTCGGGGGTCAGCGAGAGCGCCGCGGGGTGAACTGCCAGCCACGCGCCACGTCTCTGGTTGGTGGGTGACGTCACGCGCTCGCCGGTGTCCTATTAACAGAGAGCACAATGATTATTTGACCCAGGCCAGCAGGCCGGTGATGAGCGCCGGCGGCCACCTCTCCGGATCGTCGAGGACCTTCTTCCTTGACTTGTGCACCTGGGCGGCGAACTCATGTGCGTTCGGCGTGTTGGTGCGGATGGTGTAGTGCACCGCCGTTGCGCACGCCCAGAGTGCAGCCGCCTGCATGTCCTCCGCCCCGGCGACAAAGTCTGGCTGCAAGAGGATGTTTGGTGACGGCCGTACCCGGAGAGTCCTCGTCAGGATAGTCCTCACCCAACTCCAAATGCTCCTGGCCTCCCTGCAAGACGTTAGCCGATGGAGCAGTACGTCCGGCACATTGCAGTGCGGGCACATCCTGGACGGGGCTCTGTTGCACCGGTGCAGGCGGTGCCGCGTGGCGACCAGGTCGTGGGCGACCAACCACCAGCTCTCCTGCGCGTCGACGTGGATGACTTGGCTGCGGATGTTCTGCCAGATGACTTCCCAGTTGGCGGCGGGGGCCTTCTCGACGACGCGCGGGACCGGCGGAGGCGCGGCGCGCGTAAGGTCTTCGTACAGAGCTCTGATGATGTCACGGGGAGCGGCGTCGGCGGCACCCGCCGTGGTCGTCATGGTGGTGTGGTAGGCCCTGAAGTGTGGGGCCTGCGCCGACACTCGCCGCAGCTGCTCTCCCTGCGGGTGCTTCTCGAGGAGGGTGGTGAGCCACGCCGCAGTGATGGAGTCCCCGACGACTGTCCTCGCGCCTTGCCAGCGACCGACAAACAACGCCGTGCACTTCCTGAGGATGTCGGGGATGCCGAGGCCTCCGCTGCGCAGTGGCGTGGCGCACACGTCCATGGGGCTGGTGAAGAAGTGCCCTCGCCACAGGAACCTCCTTGCTGCTGCAGTGATGTCTCTCGCGACGGCGCGGTTGATCGGCAGGACCTGCGCGACGTGCCACGCCTTGGACAGCCCGTACATCTGGACGTACAGGGCGCGCTGGTGCATGCCCAGGGCGCGCGCCGCGTTATCCCGAAGGACCGCCCGAACGCTCCCTACGACCTTCTCCCAGTTGGTACGAGTGGTGGTACGAACGTCTGCGTAGAAATCAACCCCAAGGATCTTTAACTTCATTTGGTAGTTAAAGCCGATGTTGATGTCCCTGTTCCAGGTCGCGGTGGCCAGAGCACCACACTTTGCTGGGTTGGCTAGGAGTCCAGACGCGACCCCAAAGTCGTCGAGTGCCCCGCGCACGACGGCAGCCTCATCCGGAGAGCGGAGCAGGAAGAAAGCATCGTCGGCATACGACGAGACGCGCAGGCAGCTGCTCGCCAGAGCAAGCCCCTGCAGACGCCGGTCAAGCAGGATCATGAGCGGAGCGAGGATGACGGCGAACAAGAACATGCTGGCCGGGCAACCTTGGCGCACCGACCTCTCAACGGGGAAGGAGAGAGTGAGGACGCCGTTGACTCGGATTCTCGATGTCGCGCCGCCGTACATTGACTTCAGGACACCGACGACATTCCCCGACAGCCCTCGCCGCCGCAGGACCTCAAAGAGAAACTCGTGCCGCACTGCGTCGAAGGCTCCAGAAAAATCAATCGATGCAATGCAGCCTGCCGTGCGCTGTGCCCCCAAGGCACTGAGGGCGTCGCGGATGTCGCAGAGCGCTACCGACATTGTCCTTTCCCCCCGCGGCCGGACCTGGTTGGCGTGGAGCAGCTTGTCCTGCAGCTCGCTGAGTCGTGACGTCATCACCCTGGCCAGGACCTTGGCGTCCACATCAAGAAGCGTGATTGGACGGAAGTCCTTGATTCGACGCGGGGCGGCGATTTTAGGAATCAACGTGATTGTCCCTTTCGTCATCTCCCCCGGGACGAGCTGCCGCTGCCACATATCATTCATTACTTCTGTGAGGGACTCACCAATCACCGTCCACGCCGCCGCGTAGAATTCCGCCGTTATTCCGTCCTGGCCAGGTGACTTCCGCTTGGGGCTGCGGCGCACGGCGAGCAGGACCTCCTCGCTGGTGATCGGCCTGTTGAGGGCAGCGTTGTCTTCCTCCGACACGGTGCTCTCCAGGGCCTCCAGGATTCGGGAGGGCATGGATATGGCGCTCTCCTCGTCCTGAAACTTCGCCTTGTAAAAATTAAAGAATTCGTCCTGTATGTCACCTGGGTCCTGGAGAGTCCTGCCGCTGTCGTCCTTGAGCTTCTCGATTCGGCGCTGCCTCGCGCGCCGCGCGGCTTGCCCGACGTGGATGGCACTGAGCGGCTCGTCTCGGAGAGCGCCCTGGAGCTGCGCGCGCTCCTTGAAGCCGGTGAGTAGCTGCGCGTGCACGGCGAGGATCTCCTTCTTTGTCTCCCTGATGTCAGCGGCGAGCGCGGCGGTGCGCGTCGGGGCGGAGCACTGCTCAGAGAGCAAGGTGTTAAGAAAATCTAGTTTGTTTTTGGTCTCACCCCTCAGCTGCTGCGTGACTCGGCTGGCGACGCGGCGGATGGTGGGCTTCGCGGTGCGGATCCACCACTCCGTCGCTCCCTCGTCGGCGCGGCGTCTGGCGAGGATGCGAGGCCACTCCTCGGCGAGTTCCGGCAGAAAGTCGGGGTCCTTGAGGGCGCGCGCGTCCAGCGACCACGGGCGGGGCGGGCGGCGGGGCGGCGCGGGGCCGGCGGGCTGTGCAAAAGAAATCATT